TTGGCGACTGGGGCCCAAAGATGCCAGATCTCAACCGAACTTTAAGGTAGTAAGCCTAACTCTGGCACATTTGTGGCGATTTTGGCCCGAATGTGCCAGGTGACAGCCAAACTGTGAAAAAGTGAAGCCTAACTTTGGCATAAGTTTGGCGATTTTGGCCCGAAGATGCCAAAGCTCTGCCGAACTACAAGGTAGTAAGCCTAACTCTGGCACATCTCTGGCGATTTTGGCCCGAATGTGCCAGGTGACAGCCGAACTGTCAAAAAGTGAAGCCTAACTTTGGCATTAGTTCGGCGGTTTTGGCCCAAAAATGCCAAAGCTCTGCCGAACTACAAGGTAGTAAGCCTAACTCTGGCACATCTGTGGCGATTTTGGCCCGAATGTGCCAGGTGATAGCCGAACTATCAAAAAGTGAAGCCTAACTTTGGCATTAGTTTGGCGATTTTGGCCCAAAAATGCCAAAGATCTGCGGAACTACCGGGCAGTAAGCCTAAATCTGGCATTTTTTAGGCGATTTAGGCCCGAAGATGCCAGACGACAGCCGCGAAGCCTAAGTTTGGCACTTGTTTGGCGAATTAGGGCCAAGATACCCAGACTGTTGCCAAGGGAGGTCAGGTTTGGCACTACTTTGGCTTCTTCGGGCTTTTTAATGCCCTAAACTGCCAGACGCAAGCCAAGTTTTGGCCCAGAACTCGGTGCTGCCTGGGCAGATTTTGTCCGCCATGAGCATACCCCAATTTGGACTGATATTTCAGCTACTATACGATACTGAATTTATGAAAGTGTTTATTGTATATAGCAAGTGTTCAAGCCCTTGAATGAACTGCCGATGCTCTCCATCTTTTTTGTGCAATATTATTAGGTATTTTTGCGATACATTTTTATAACATTTTAACAGACCTCATTCTTTTTTGTGCAGATAATTTTAACAAAATACAGATTAAGGGATTAATACTTTACTTTACGACATAATGACTTGATAATGCGAAAGCATTAATTGTCCCATGAAGCGAGTCGACGTCATCAGCTTTGAAGCCGCGCCCAAACGGTCTCTAAACTCCTTCCTCAAGGCGAAGCCGCTATCTTATGGCTCCCAGCTTTGACGCCGCGCAAAATACCTAGCCAAACTGCATCTAGTTTCCCTTCTCCCAATAGTGCTAAATGAAGCCGAAATCTGATGGATTGGCATTGGAATCCCAATGCTGGCGCGCGTCATAGCTTCAAAGGACGAGGCTCCCATTGGCCGGCGCGCGTCAGTTTCAAGGAAGGCCACCCCATGGCGCTACGGGCCCGTGCCGCCTAGAGTTCCTGTATAGGCTCCCACGGGAACCAGGGTTGCGCGTCTGTTTTCCACGTGCCGCCGCGCCGCTATTCGCCGTGATTTGATCATATGAGGAGCAGACTCAAATGCCATGCAGGAAAGTAGACGTTTTCTGCGCCCCTGCGTATGGTCCCACGCAACTATGGCTCCCGCAGGGAGCCATAGTTGCGCGTTCATTTTTGTTGCGCGGGCAGCAATGTAGAAAATATGTAGTGTTGCCCGGGCGCCGGTAAAACGAAGTGGTTCAACCCATGGCACTAACGGGCCTCTGGCCGGTAAAACGGACATGGTGGCGCGCGCTCGGCTGCTTCTGCTCGTTTCGTCGCCGACGAACATGGCGACGCTTCAAGCATCCACATTGTCGGCGCCGGCCACCTCGGCAGTGACGCAACTTGCCCCTTTACGAAACTACAACACAGAAGAACAGAGCGGAACAACGACATGCATTGCTTTCCCATTCACAACTAATAAGAAGTGCTTAGGTGTACCTCGAGCGTTATCTTATCGACATCTATGTCAATATGTTTTACGTCTTTGGCGTTGCCGTGTCCTACACTGAAATTCCCCAAAACCCATCTGCTCTTGGGGACGAAGCTTGACCTCCCGCACCATTGGGCTAAACCAAAAAAGCAACTTTTGAAATGCTTAACTGGGCCCAGGATTCTTTTAAAAAGGGTGCTCTAATTCTGTCGGAATTTCCTTGCTCTTACCCGTCTCGGAGAAGGGCACAGAACACTGGTTCAACAACGAGCAGTCATTTATTCCGTGTTGGCGAACGGTTCAATCCCAAGAACCCCTGCGCACACGTGGGACGGCCTTTTATCCGCTACGGTGGGCCACTCGCGCGACTCTTGGCCTCCTCGCGGTAGAAATGACCCCTGACGATTTGGCAGGCGGGCAGCCTGGGCCAAGGCTTTGAATCCCCTGGTTTCCCATACATCTCTGCCCATCCGAAAACAAAAACAAACAAACAGGGGACGCCTTAGAACATCTTGGGGGGTCTTCCTTCTGGGCCAACGACGGCCTTTGCAGAGGGGCAAACGGTTATTCGGCGTCAGTTTTTCCGGACGGTACCGATGCGGCCGTAGTGGGTCTCATCGTGGGAGCTACGTCGCCGCCGCTACGAGTCTGGCACGAGGCACTAGAAATTAGGAATACATTGAGGCCGTGGCGCAGCAGGAATAAGTGGCCGCGCCCGAGAACGATGCCTGCCCAACGGCGCATACGAGAGCACGGCTACTTTTTCTTCTCTCCCCAAAAAACCGAAAAAGGCACGAATTTAATGCACCGAAGAGCTCGTGCCCCTTTTTTCGTGGTCTTCAGCGCCGTCGCAGGTTGTATCGTGGCAGAGACGGTATGAAATCTTCTAGAGGTAGAACCTGCGGCACATCTACCTCCCCAGGCTCCTAGAAAGCTTTTTTGTCGGCGACTTGAATGGACCCACACACTTCATCAGATTCGCAATGCACCAGATCGTAAACCAAGTTGGAGAGCTTCTTGTTAACAGAAAAAATGCCTCCCATCGCTTGGCTAAAGATACCATGAAGCCTCTAACATTTTCACTCAGCGAATGAGTTCGCCTCAGCAGCAGATCTCTTACCATTGTGGTGTCAGAACAGCAAAGAGAAAGACGTCCATCGGATGCGGGAGCGTGTGGCTAAAAGGCGACAAGAGTGCGTGACGAATATATATAAAAAAATAGTCTTGGCCCAAGCTTTGTCGTGTTCGGTTCGTTTCCTCGCTTCGCCCCCGCAATGCCATGGTGACCCGTGAACTATATGGCTACGAACGCGCAAGAAACAGATCGTACCGGTGAGCCTCCCCATAAAATCAACCACTACGCTGTACGCCTCCCGCCCTTCTGGCGACAGCACCCGAAAATCTGGTTTCTGCAGGTTGAAGCCCGATTTGGCGTTTCGAACGTCACATCACAAATGACGCGTTTCGGCAACCTGGTAGCTGCCCTTCCCAACGAACTAGCATTGGAAGTCTACTACGTTCTTTCAAATCCGCCCAGCGCTGCACCGTACGACGCGCTGAAAGCGGCAATCGTAGAACCAGCCACGGTTTCGGAACGCAAGCGCCTACAGCAGCTGTTGGCAGCAGAAGAGCTCGAAGATCGGTGACCTTCACAGAAACTCTGTCACATGCAGGCCTTGCTTGGTAAGCGCGCCGCGACTTTTGATATGACATTACTGAAAGAACTTTTTGTACAACGGCTTCCTTCGACTGTCCCGATGCTACTTACCACGGCAGCAGATTTGACCCTGCCAGCTCTGGCACACACGCCGAGAAATTCATGGAGGTCGCACCACCACAGGCTTTTGTGCACAAACCTGGCGTACTTTAGCTCTCTGAAGCCCAACAGCTAAGACTCGCCTCCTCTGAAGAAATGACGGCCCTTCGGAAGCAAGTCAAAAACCTGACCGCACTCCTCGCAAGCTCCCTTGTTCGTGATTCAGAGCCCTCCCGTATCTCGTCCGGTTCTGCTTGTTCTCCAAGCCGATCATCATAGTCGCGACGTTTTTCCCCTTCAAGAATTCAATCTTCAGACGTCCAACTTTACTGGTACCATTACAAATTTGGTTCCAGAGCAGAGCGCTGCACGTAAACTGGTGGAACGTCGTGAAACGAAACGAGAGATGACTAGCAGCGACGAGTGCTCCTCCAAAACCTTCTGACAGTCGCCTGTTTTTCCTCAAAGACGTACTCTCAACTGTTCACTTTTCCATCAACTTATCCTCCACAACTTCAACACAAAACTGCTCGTTGGAGCGACTCCGACTTCGAAAAGGTAAATCATGTAATAAAAAACAAAAACAAGAAAAAAAAAAAAAAAGAAACCTCCATCGGATGCGGGAGCACGGGGCTGAAAGGCGACCACCGCGCGAGACGGTTATAAAAAAAATAGTCTTGGCCCGAACTTCGTCGTGCTCGGTTCCTTTCCTCGCTTCGCCCCCCCCCGCCCCCCCCCCCCCCCCCCCACCTTTAACTGCAAATTTTGTTGCACTGGCTTGCCTGCTGAAGTGTCCACACGTCGAGGCTCCCTCTAGCTTCCCGCAAGTTCTTCGTGAACTGCTTCCGGAGATCTGCGAGCTGCGGAGTGGTGCGCTGTATACTAGTTGGATCTGTGCATGCAAAGAAGGCCATTTACCAGGGAAATGCGAGCTCTTTCCCGAAGTTATATTGAACAGGAGTAAAAACCCGTGGACCGCTTGACTGTCATGCGGGTGGCGAATGCCATATTTGCCAATTTTGCGTCCCAGTCTTGTCACTCTGTATGCGCTTCGTGCATTAGCTTGAGGTCACGGTTGACTCTTTCCGTGATAGTCGCCTGTGCAAAAGTACGGCGAAGTTTACCTGTTTCTGTATCGCTAGTGCCTTACACACATCCATGAACACCTTGCTAACAAAATAAAAAGTGTTTTTTCTAATTATAATTGTGGCAAAGTCAAAGCGCTTGAGCTTTTGAAAAAGACAGTTCCAAGTTTTCCTTGAGTCCAGCTAGCGTAAAAAATATTTCGAGAAAGTAGCCGCGTTCCTGTATGAGCAGTTGGGCAGGCGTTGTTTTGGGCGCGGCCCCTTATTCTTGCCATGCTATTGCCCCACCTTGGGCACAAGTGTGCGAATTCTCTTGCTGCTACCCGTCTTGAACAACGACAGAACGCACTGGTTTAACAATACGCCGTCATTTATTCCCTTATCGCCCGCGTTGCGATCACAAGAGTCCCCGCGCATACGCCGCGAAGGTCTTTTATCCGCGGCGGAGCGCCGCTCGCGTGGCCGGTTACCATTGGCCCCCTCGTGGTGGAATCGAAAAACTGACGATTTGGCAGGCGGCAAACCTGTGTCAACGGTTTGGATCCCCAGGTTAACCAGAATCCTTAGTGAACTTCTTATGATGCGTTGTTTTAGAAACGCCAATGTTGCCTTTTTTAAAGCTACTTTTTGGTCCAGCACACAGTATGACAAATGAATTGCACAACTTATCTTCGGGAGGGACTGCGTTGGGAGTCGAATGTGAACTTTGAGAGAAATAGAATAAATAAAATTATGACAGTCATATACAATGCTAAATTTTATGAAGTCCGGAAAACGAAACAGGGCATATGGATGAAAGGTAGTTGATTGTGTGAAACGACACGAAAGTGATTTGATGCGGAGCTTTTATTTAGTTAAAATACTTTAATAATGTATCAAAATGATACTGCACCCATCCAAACAACACTTCAGTAACAAATTTCCCAAACTTGTTGTCAACACTACTCTCTTGATGACTCAAGCAGAAATAAATAGAGCAAAAGAAAAACATTGCAAAGAGACTACCCTCCAGTGATTTGGTAAGTAATTTCTTGAATGAAACTACATCATGATAATTATAGACAACCGCATGTAGGTTTCAGCGCAGAGTTTAATCATATATATATCACACATAACTGTTGTTTAAACTTTGGAAAACGCCAATGCGTAGACAAATTCAACGCCGTATAATTGTTCTACTAGAGAAAATGGTACTGTTGAACATATTAAGAAATTCTAATATTTTATACTCTATTAGCTAGGGTCAGCATGCGTAAAATATTACGATGAGAAACTTAAAGGTACCACGCGAAACTGTTTCTACCAGGAGGTATCTCTAGTGCGTCAGCTTTTTATGCAAGTTGAAGTAGAAACTAGTTACGTGTCAATTGTGGTTCTTATTCATCAATCGCTGTATCATACACAGTCACCACAGTGAAAACGCCAAACGCAACATTGGCCTTCTACTACACTACAAGACCAGGGATCATCGATCAAATTATAATTCCACTCACTGTTCAAATGATTCCGGTAGGTATATATTGACGTTCCCTTTTAGTTGATGGGGTAAATAAAACACGCATGACATAATTTTGCATCATACCAATCTTTTGAAACTACACCGAAAAAATAATTCAAATATTTATGTTTGGTTAATGTGCTATACGAGTTGTAGAGCAAAAACGTAATAGAGCAGAAGAAGAATGATATTTTGTCTCTGGACCTGTATTACGAATTTTTTATGATGCATTTTGTGGCTGTAAAGTACTGTGAAAATGTGACATTTTTGGGAGGATTACAACTGCAGATCTTTCATGAGATAACACCAGCCGTAAATAGATATCGTGAGTTTTGTTTTCCAAACAGCTAAAAATATTGTATTTAAAAACCAATTGAATCCAAAGAAACATGAGCAGCGAACAATTTTAACACACTAAAAGAAATAAAACATTTCCTTTCGACCTCTACCGATGAGCAATCCCAGGCATTTCATCCAAACCAACAGTGCACTGCAGTTCTTTATGTACAAACTCGAGATGTGACCACGCGCGCCACGTCTATTTCCGCCGTTAATACGCACCAGAGAGAGTTTAGTGTGAAACATTTTTTAGGTTATATGAAGATAACTTCTGTGAGGATAAACTGTAACTATGGTGGCCTACTATTCTGTACATATCATGACTCTGACACATCGGATTTTGCAAGATGTAAAAATGGTATCACTAGCACTGAATAGACAAGAACGCCATGTGCTACGTAGAAACCGAATATTACATATGTAACTCACTTTAGAACACGCTTTTGTATTACAAAAATTAAAACCATCTAATAGAAGTCAGCTATCATCGAAACTATGAAGCGACGAATGGGTTGTTTTTTTTTTTAACAGAACACAAAGCACACATAAAAAGTGTAATTAAGTGATATCTAGAATGGTTAGCCATGAAATATCCCCATGAAAAAATGTTAGGCATACTCCACGAGATATATGGAGTCAATAGTGCCATATACGTCTTGCCGTTCTTGCTGTAATGAGCTTTCTACAGTATTTCACTGGTCTCTAAGAGTACACATTATCTAAAAAAGGTGGAATCGCGTACCAATTTGGTTGTTTGGGTTGTGGGTATAATCTACATTACTGGATATTTAAAATGATTTGTGATAATCTGTGCCTTAAGTTGGAAAGTTTGGCCCTACCCAGGCCCGAACCACAATGATCCCGTGTAGCTGCCTACTTTAAAGCAGGCATTTTAGCGAAAGGAACGTAACAATAAATAATTACAGACTTCCGCAAACTTGAGCAAAGTTTTAGTATATAATTGTATTGCTGCTTTAGAACTAAATATTGTATGTTTCAGATGAATTAAGTATTTCATGTTGCCACAGCAAGACGGAGGCAAGTTCACAATGATGTCGTTAGTATAACATGCAAATTATGAAGAAAAAAATTTTTTTTTTATATTCTAAGATTGAGGGTTTACGGTGTCTGAGGACAGCAGCAGTATAAACATAATATAGGTTGCGTTGGTTTTACAGGTTCGTAAGACGCTGAAAACAACTTAAGCGTTGATGAAAAAAATTTGCGTGCGGACTCACAATTTGTTTTTCTGCGCACGTTGAATTCTGAACCTGTCTGGAGAAATAACAATTTTAAGAGTAGGCCAGGAAAAGTCAACCTATCTCAAGAATAATCTGGATCAGCTGTACTACCACTTAATTAGGAGTACTTAATGTTAACACTATATTGTTTTATATATTTCTGCAGGAGAGTTTTCTGCACATCGAATCCACATTTCCTTTGTATAGTTTGTTTATAAGTGCCACTGCCCATTTTTCAAGGTCGGGTGGCAATGGATCGAGCGCGAATATTTGAGATAACTTCAACTAAGTAATCTAACGTCATGGAAATTCAGTTCAATTTCTGTAAAGGTCTTAGTGCCCACGAGCTTCTAATTTTCGTTAACTTCGCGAATAGAAAAATTCACAAACTTCAAGGGCACGGGAATACTTATATTGTTTTCAGAGGCGAATTCTCGTTTTATAACCTGTAACATTTAATGGTCGCGACTATGAAACATACAGCCGGATCCTGAGAAATCGGGTCGCAAAAATATGCTTTCAGAAGCACATCTTTGATTGGCACGTGCCATTTTTTTTTGTTTTAAAAACAAAAAAATAAAAATAAAAATGAGGGTCCATGTGTCTGATTAGTCGTACGGTCATGAACCAAAATTAGAATTTATTTTAATTTCTTTGTATAAAAAAATTAGGGTAAGAGCCGCCATGAATATAGAAACGAATAAGGTATAAAAAACTTTTTAACAGGTTAATGCGTGTACTTTGTAAGCCTTCACAAACCTTCTGACGATAACATTAAAACACGTCTACTATTTTAAGAAGCAAGCCAACGACCCCTACAAGAGATATTGCGAAAAAATATAAAACGACTTATTTTTAATTTTGTGTAATACGTTAATGTTGAATTGTCTAATATATTAATGCATCGAACACTCATAAAGAATAAAGAAACTGAAACAAAAAATGTTATTTGGGGGGCCCAGGGCATTGCACTTATATCAATTTGACCAGGTCGTTCTAAATCTAAGGTGCCATATTGATGCACTTGCTCGTTCCTGACAACGATGTTCTTAATAGTCTTATTTGTGTCTTGCCTTGAGTTTGTGTACAGCTAACACTGCAAGCACCAAGACCGTTTAATTTATCATAAAATGTTTTTATGCCCCTGTCCTAATAAACACGTCGAATACTCCGGCCGTTTTATAGGTTAATCCTACTGATTTTAAATTAGAATAGGAAAGATGATTCCCCTTTAATCGATGCTACGCAGCTCTACATCACTAGTAACGTCCGGATTAATTCGTCAATTGCAGTAATTCTGTTTTTAACATGTTGAATGAATTTTAATACAAATATTTGTAGAGCGGGTGTGAACATAAATCGCTTCTTTTCGCAGTTTATGGTCGCAGTCGTACTTAGTATTCATTATTTACTAACCAAAGGACGAGGATGAGATCCACTCAACGCTAATAGCGTCCAAATAAATTATTAACGCGGATCGTAACGCGGATTAACACGACAATGACTTAACCGCAAACATCCACATTTCTTGAATTTTTTGTTATAAAACAATGGTTCCCATTTCATTTGTTTTTGAGTTTCCGTAAAGATTCGGCATTGAAGAAAACAACGCAAGCTTTCTCGCATTTAAATTAAAACTACAAAATTCCTCGTTTCCGTTTCCTCATTATCGAATGTCTTATATGAGTGTCTTCGTAACTAAAGAATCTCGTGCTCTCGTCTCATACAATAGATGTAATCTTAGACAAAAGTTAGGATAACCTCTCACATTATGTATACCATTCAGTATTTCAAAGCAATTCGCGAATAAGACAGTATTTTCGATGGTAACATTCGAAAGACATTTTACGCAGCAAATAACTATTTCTTAAAACGCTCCGCGCACTGTGCAAGCAGGTAATAGGTTAAAGGAGTGAAAGGGTCATGTACAGAAGGAAGTTGTAGATTGTAACCAATAACAGTACACAATATCAACGGCACCATGTTCGAGAAGTAGGACTGCCTTGGTTTCTATTCTACATTCCTATGTAACTGCAATAAACACTAGACGCATCACTTTGTACTTAATTAAAGTACAGCCTGCTAAAAAGGAAATGAAAATTTCGACAAAGTATCCACTAATCATAATATTATAACGCAATTTTACGTGCACTAACAATCATAAAGTTTATATACAGCAGCGAAATCTGTACAAACAACCTCCCTTATGTAAATCAATCGGTGTGAGGACCATTTCAAACATCTTCCGCGTATATTGTATCGTAGAAAAAGAAACATCATGACAAACGCGTACAACGTCACGATACAACAACTCAATGAGAAAACAGATGTATAGGTATGTTTTCTCGTAAACCCACACACGTAGTAGTAGTTGTGATGCAGGTTCTGCACACGCTGCCCGGTAGGCTGCAGCTTTCTACTGAGCAGGTAACTGTCACATCTAAGCTTGCGGTTTCTCTGTGTACTTTGAGGTACTCCTCGATTCGGTGGTTGCTGCACCGCCGCGACGCTCTTGGTAGTAGTAAAAACCGGACAAAAATGGAAGTGGTCGAGGCGGGTCCACGATACTTTAAAGGCGAATACGAGTGAAAAGAAACCAAACTGATGAAAATTGTGAAAGGAAAGGAAAAAAAGTGAATCAAGTTAGAGCAAAAAGTGTCTCTCAGAAGTCCGACGTGAACGATGGCAGCGTGGAGATTCGGTAGTCGCCTCCGTTGCTGTCCACCTCGGGAGGCTTGGCACCTTTCACTGGCATCGTGGAACTACGGCACGAGATGGCGAATTTGAGCTGCTTCAACATTTCCTTGCAAAGGGACTCCTGAAACAAGAAACAAAAAAGAGGAACGGTGTCGGGGTACGTTGTAGTACATAAAAATCGGCAATGAATGTATATTATTATTGACATTTCTAGGGCCTAGAATGCATTCTTGGTTGAATTTGCATATTTTTTGGTCCGCGTGTAATATTGAAGGCTGAAATGAAAGAAAGCGCGCTTCCCGTTTTATTTTATTTCTGAGATTCCTCAACAGCAGCAAGCTAAAATAACACAGGAGACTCTGAATATGAAAAACACACAACATTTAGGTTAAGTAAGACATACGCTGTTGGCTACTTTCACTTCAGTCGAGTTTTTCTTCTACCGCACATGAGTTAAACCAAGCCGGTAATGCAAAGGGACAATCAGCCCATAGCAATTATAAGCTTTGTGAAGTGAACTGCTTTAACCCTGGAGTAAAACAAAGTTATTTTTGAGATATAAACTTGATCTACTAATCATAAAAGTTTAATTATTGAATCCCTTGAAGCGAAAGCGTAAATCACATAACTTCATTTGGATCAACTTAGCTAATGGCGAAGTGCCGAACAGATGCTCTCAAAAACGCACTTCAGAGATATGTTGCGTTTACCAAATGTAGCTTTTGCTCAAGAGCCGCCTGATTTCATGAGCATTCCACTCTCTTATGGTTAGAGATAGGGGCTGTAACTCATTGCATCTTCAAGCTAGAGTTTGAGAAAAAAAAAGAAACATGACGGGTTCAAAGTGTTGTGCAAAAGGAAAATCTAAGGTTTACTGCCTTTTGCAAGGGAATAAGAATTACCAAGAAGTGGTTCTTAAGGTACAGAGTCGAGATTAACTCAAACAACTAATTAAGTTTTGACATAATTTGTTACCTTAACTCAATGCAGGGGATGCTACATGCTTTAAAAATCCGATAATTAAGAAAATATCTTAAACTTATTTCAGGAATTCATTCTTGAAATCCGCTTTTTAGGTTTCAGACCAGAATACATACAAGAGTCTTCGTTGCTGTTCATACTAAATCACGGTTCTAGGTCGCTTCGGTAGCGGTCTCCGAAACGTTGTTAAGAGGGTGACTACCGAAATAGCTGTTAACGGAATCTGATTGAAAACGGCAAAATATTTTTATTGCGCCAGTGAACAGTCGCGTAATCTGGAATTAAAATAATAAAAAAAATATTTTGCAACGAAGAAGAGCAAATAATAAAGGTACGCAACAAACTACAAAAAAACATTTCATTTCACTCAGCCCAATAATTAAACAACGTAGGCATTTAAAGTTATTATGAAAAGAGCTATAGTAGGTTACTGAATCGCAAAGATATACGATTATGCTACGTAACGCAGAGCAGAAGTGACCAAAAACAGCTAAATACGGATGCATGGCTAAAACGCCAATAAGACAATAGTCAGCGGTGTGTATGTCTTTTCCTCTCACGGTTTTTATAATTTGTAATTGTTCAGCTGACCCTATTCAAGTATGTACCAACTAGCTCAAGTAAAACCTCTAGTACGCCAATAAGAGAAGAGCAAACATTAGTGCTTTATTCACCCATATCACCAAGGTGGAGAATACAATTCAAGATGGTTTATATAGTGACTTAGATCATGATTTAAGTAATTTAAATCACATCGGTTCTACAATGATGGTTGAAATCAACCATTTTCTACAAAATGAATCCCCAATATACATCTTATTTACTGTTAGTCTATCATTTGATGATTTTTATGTTCACTTGTTTTTTATATAATAAATAAATCATAATGAAAAAAAAAGAGGTTGAAGACGAACATATTTGGTGAGCAAATCAAAGCGCTTCGATTTTGTTCTACGCTACTCTTCGTTTGTTAGCTGCGTAATCTACAGCGTGTTCGAAACAAAAACATTTACAGGGTTTGTTTCACCGCAAAAATAAACTATGCATGGCCAAATGCTCATCCTGCGCCCAAATGTAGCGCTAGAGGTCCGAACTAGACGCCAAAGTTTCAGCACGAACCAATATTTTATTCAATAGTTATAGGAGAGTTTTTGAAAAATTCAATGAGAATATGGGCCAATTATCGCCTGCTTTCGGTTTCTGGCGCCATAGAGCACCATCTATTCTAGAGCTCCGTCGGCCACGATTTTCTCGTTGACATTAAAAAAAAAAAAAAAAACACGACTAACTTTTAAACAAAAAAAAAAAATAAAAAGAACAAAACAAAAACGGTTTGCGTTGTAACTTTGGCATCAGGATCCAACCTTTAGCCCTTCCTTTCCTGTGGCGAATGAGCGTTCGGCGAAACATAGTTTATTTTTGCGGTGAACAAACCTGTAAACTTTTTTCGGGGACACCTTCTATTATTTGCAAGCTAATCAAAACGCAAAAAAAAACAAAAAAAACAAGGAAAGTAACGTTTATTGAAAGCAAATCAGATCGCGAAGGAAAACGCAAATTCAGCTTTTTCACTAACTAAAAAATTCAACGTCCTTTGTTCTAGTATGGCGGGTTCACATCAATAAAAACCGTTAAATAAATTGTACTAGAAAAGACTAAATGTACAATAATTCATTCCTCTCCATTTTATTGAGCAACCTGACGGTATGATCAATCAATCCGTCATGTTTAAAATTACATGAAATGATGTAAAATAAGCTTTTTTCTTACTACATAAAATAAATCAAATTAATAAGATGTAAAGCAAGTATATCTGATTTATGTGACCCTTTAAAATATCTTTTCCCCCCTGAAGATTGCTCATCGACGGGAACATAAAAAACAAACAAAAAAAAACAACAAAAACAAACAAAGAGGCTTTCCGCAATAAGCGAAGCTTCATGAAAAGGCTTAAAACAACTTCAGTTGTGTACTTCGTTTCATCTTAAATCCAGACGGAGCTGCCGCTACGAGCTCATGGGGTCAATCAGACACGCCAAAATTGCTCCAGTGGGTGACGTATTAAATATAGGATGTCTCCAGCCGACCTTCCGCTTCAAACAAGAGGGAAAACAATCATGAGCCTTTCTACTTCGTGGAGGTGGATGACCAGTGACGCTGTTTAGCTCGCGACACAGATCCGCCCCGTGGAGCCGGCGGAAAGTACACACGCCCGACGGAACCGCCAGCCCGGGAGTGCGGAAGGAAAGGAAACTAGGAGCCCAAGCGCTTGGAACGACGACAATCAGAGGGTGGTGCGAGCGTAGACATGGCCGACGCGTGTCGCACAGTGGCCAATCTTTGAGAAACCTTAATTACCTACATGAGAGTCTACTGATCCTGAAAATTGCGCCTATTGGTAACTGATTGAATGAATTGGCGACGTGCGCGACCGAAAGCGTCGCTGTGGTCGGCCTTCCACGATTGGCCCAAAAGCTGACTAAGACGTCGGAAAGGGTATACCATCGATGGAAATAAGAGCAATGAAAGAACTTTAATTTCGACGGTGTTGGCAGTGTTGCTTTGAGAGCGCAATGATTTCAGGCTTCCACCATGCTATATACAAACACCATCGAACTTGTTGTTCGCAAGGTAATGAGGTCACAAGGGGGAACCATAGGAGGGCGCCACCAAAACATCTCGCCGCTAATAGACCTATTGCTAAATTACCCAAGCGAGGAAAATGCAGGGAATGGTGTTCCACACGCCGCACGTGCCGGCGTCTGCTGCAGTAACTACTCTAAAAAAATCCCAGAACAAATGGCATTTTGCACGAGCGCTCGTCAATGTTTTATTTTGGTTGTTTACTTCGAGTCTTTTATACAGGGAAGGCCTGCGCGTGCGGCGGCGGGAGCGGCGGCGAGTGCGGCGGTTCAAGCGTAGAGTTTTTGGTCACGCACACGAAAAATCAACGGAACCCAGCCATAAACAGTTTCGCTGTAAAATCGGCATCTGCAGATAGAAACGGCAAACATTTAACAAATGCGCACTGAGGAAGTCAGTTTTACAGTGTGAAATTTCAAGTCGCCGTTCTCTTTCTTCCTGTAAAAATATAAGAGTAGGAAACTTGCTAAAGTTAATGTCGCTAGCGTTCGCCGACGAGGGAGTTGGTAACGCTATTTATTTGTGGCGCCATCACCCGATAGTCGTAGCGAACAGACGACGCGCTTGGTTGTCTGCTCGCTGCGCTTACCGGGAGATGGCGCCACAAGTAAACAGCGTCGCCAACTCGGTCGTCTGCGAACGCAACCAACCTTGACTTTGGAAATTTTATTGCTCAAATTTGTTTACAGGAAGAGCCCACTTAAATTTTACGCGATAAAATTTACCTTCTGAATGCACATTTGGTGAAAGTTTCGGTTTTCTATGTGCAGACGTCGATACTTCCGGCTCGTTTTACAGTGGAAGGAGTGCTTGGGGGCACCCTATACACTACTACGGCCAGGTTACCAAGGAAATGTTAGTGAGCTTCAATGTCGGCAACACGGACGGAGGAAACAAACAAGTTACCGAGTCCTCCTTGGCCATCTTTCGGGCCTTGAAGAAGAACTCCATGACGGCAACGATGGACGCGAGGGCCAATCCTCCCAGGAGGACGACGAAGACGCCACCCACGTTGGCCAGGCTGAGCTCGGTGACCGCCGACGACTTCTTGGCGTCGTCGACACACTTTCCGCCACCCTTGCGCTCCTTCCACCACTTCTCCTTGAAGCTGTGCAGTTTCCCTGCCTCTTGCAGCTTGAGGATGCCGCTGGACAGGATCTGCCGGTAGGGGGATTCTATGACAGGAACACCGAAAAAAATGAAGAGAGATTAGAAGCATGGAGCGAGACCACTCGTTTCGGAAAAATATTTTTTCTTCTTTTTTGTCTCCTTGATCAGTTTGGAATTCACACTAATAGGGCCATGATTACTGAAGAATGAAGAACAAATAATTGTAAAATCGCAGTCGAGACCTACGCAGATATGGAAAAACGGGAAGGCGATCGGGATACTACTCTATAAAATATCACGACTGAATTATTCTTGAAGAATGGGAAAACGCAGGCGATCTGGTTAACGATATCAATTGCAAACGCCAGAGAAGACAACAAATTTATTTTTTCTATTTCTTTCTTTGTCTCGTCTTTTTATGGGACTATTCTTCTCTATATATGGCTGACTCAGACTCTCCTAAGCCTGAATATCCGTGGTAATTTTTCTGCCGTCAATCTTCAGAGTCACGATAATTGTAGAAAAAGGGGTCCAACAATGCCCGTAGGTAAACCATGTCAGAACGGTTAAAATATAAGTCGTTGCAGGAATAATAAGAAAGCAAACGATAAGGTGGAAATAGTGTTCCGTAAGAACGTGAAACGTTCTTTTGCTACTTGCTCAGGACTTCGTGAAGCCCAAACATTGAAGTGACCGCTAAGATCGTTGCTGATTCGTTGACGGGGGGAGAGGAGCAAACGAAGGAAGCACGACGCTTATTGGCTAACGGGGGAGGTCACATGGCCAGAGGTAGGTGAGGAGGAGTTCGACCACCTGCGCACTGACGGAGGAAGCTCGAGGCTCTGGAGGGGAGGGGCTAAGTCACGTGACTTTCCACCTCCCCTCCCTGGTTTATCGAGGGCGCACTAACGGAGGAGTGATTAGCGGTATCGCCTCATTCGAGAAAGAGCGATAACCTGGTACGCGTTAAGATACACACATAAAACAAAGGGTATTTTTTTATTATTCGTGCAACAGGCACGGCTCGATTGTTTAGATGAGATGCGCTATATGTGCATCCCGTATAAAACCAAAGAGGGTATATTCGTACATCCCTGGTCACATATAATACACCCCAAAACTTCAGTTCGACCTACGCGCACTCTAAGCCTTGATACGTACTTTAGCTATTCATTATGTTATATCCCACCGGTCATCAAGCCTCTCGTAAAAGTTGGGGCCGTTAGTTCGGCGGTAGTGCGCTGTACGTCGAATTGAATTTTTGTGTGTCTTATACGTGACAAGGGATGTAATGGCTACACCCTTATTTTTTTGGAGTGTACCTCACGAAGAGCGTCATGAACGCAAGCGTTTAACTGCGCGGAATCTTAGTGATGAACAGCGTGAGCAAAAGTTTTAGACGCATGAGTTTGAGCACTAGACGATAATCCCACATTACACTAACTAACGTCAACGTGCTTGGCTATGAAGTCTAACCACTGGGCTATTAAGCCCGAAAGCTTCGCGTATGCAACAAAATTGCCTAAAAATTCGACATACATTTTTTCCCAAAAACGTTTGCATTGTTGCGCTCTTAAAATGTTACAGCGTCAACAAGATTGTTGTGAACATCTTTATGTTTTATCAGAAAATCTTTGAGTGTAGTGTGATTTTTTGTAGCTGAAGACCTTCTGGTATATGTTGGATTTTTAAGCTACGTTTTAAGGCACTTCATGTCTCGTTTTAAAAAACATATTTTAAAGCGCGGTCTTTTAATTTTTATAACTACCCTCGCGTGCGAACTTAAGGCTCTTGCTTCTTATGATTTGTTCTACCTTTTTTCTGGCTTTAGACCGTTTTAATGCAAAAGCATGAACTGTTCCATGGAGCGAAGCTGGTGTTGTCTGTAGCCGCTGTCTGTTGCAGCGAAAACGGCACCTGGATTTCCATTGGCCGAAAGCACAGCAACACAGATGCTTCGTCACGGAAGTCGGCGTGGCGCTCGAAGTCAAAGCCGATGCGCCTCAGAAATAAAACACAAAGAAAAGCACAGCAACCCAGATGCATCGCCACGAAAGCCGTGGAGCCAGCGGGGCGCCGCGCCTGCGCTGTGAGGGAGCGTGATGTCACCGCCGGAGCGTCGTGTGAAAAAGGACGACGTGGCGCGCTGCTCGTAGGAATGCGCTCCGAATAGGAACGCTTTGGCATTCCTACACGTAAGCAGTTTTAATTTTCTTCGTTTCATTTCCTTATGTTACAGTGCCCTAAGATTTCTAAATTTCTAATACTCCACATATTTCTCATGAGCCACTCTCAGTAAATTTTGTATTTGTAACGGGTATTCTTCTTAAATGAAGAAAGAGAATGAGCACTTGCAAGGAGAACCATTGCGGTTTTCTAATTAAATTTCACGGTAACGGATCTCCTGCAGTGGCTTTTAAAAAGGCTGCTTCTGAAACGTTTTAATCTAGAAGAGGATGCCTCTTTCACTACGGGCAATGTATTCCCCTATGAAGGCCAAGCTTTACATTGAAAGTAAGTCGATCCTTCCATTAGAAGCAGGCAACCTGTCCAAGGAGACCTAGGACTAGCAGGCTCAGCCCCATGCAACCAGCTCGCTCTCGATGGCTGTTGAAGTTGTGTAATAGAGGGAGCGTATTTATGCTCAGTGTAGACTATAGGGTGATGAAACAATGCCCGAAAAGTGATGCCAAAATGAACAAGTCAACTGGCTGTACTACTGAATGTTTAAATGCGGTCATTTCGTTTTCAGTATTTGTGTTTCTCAGGAAAATAATAAGAATGTAATTGAATATGATATGTGTCGCGGTCTTTACCACAACAGGTGTTAACGTGTAAGGACACGGTAATTTGCGACATAATGTTTTACGCGAAAGAGCGCAGCGAACAGTGCAGACAAGCATGGGACGGGGACTCCTTTCCAATTGAAAACAGTAGAGGTTTCTACAGGTACGGCAGCGGCTGTAGGCAACTACTATGAGCGTACCTAATCCCATTGAAAAGTGCGCGAGTCGCAGAGGTCTCTCTCAATGTTCTATAAGATCGTCGACTTCAGCACATTTAAGTTTTGTCAGTCCCCAGCCCATTCGAATGTCGTTAGCCTTCTTGAATGGAATTCCCTCACCCCCAAACTCTTTTCTTTTCGCGTACCCAAGGACTTCATGGCAACACTTATACCACTTTTCTTCTATGTGTAGTTTTAATCGAGTTAATGGCATCAACCCATTTTCACTGCAAAGTATTCCGGACGTTTTCCTGATCAGCTTTTCGAGTGAAACCTACAAATTGCGCGAAAAATAAGATACTACCGTGTGGGGTCCGAATTAATAATATACATTGCGTAAGGGGTAATCAGGTTTTTAAAGGAGCGATGCAACAATTTTTGTACTTTGCGCAAATACCGCTTAAAACGGATCCCTAACGTTAATGACTTATGAAACACGCGTTCGTTTTTCACCCCACGCAATAGAAGTCCCAGAAAAAAATTAAAGACAAACGAGCAGCGTTCACCCCCTCAACTCGCAGCTAGTACAAGCGGCCACGTGATCTGAAGCCGATTATATGCCGCCAGTGTTGATCATAGCCACGCGCTGGGGTTGGCAAAGCGCAGGACACGCGCTGAGTTCCAGACATTGTTATGGCTCGGCTGTTGTCGTCGTTGCAGCGATTGGACACGGGTCACTACCCGAGGTAGCGATTATCACGAGCCCAAGTCGAGTGCCCACGCAATGCTCGGGACCAATCTATGAACCGCATTCAAACATCGTCACTTGGGTGTACTGCGATCCCCACGGTACGTCACCAAATTTTGCGAAGGAGAGATTGAATGAAAATGATCGCTTTTGTCCTTGAAATTACACCGCAACAAAGGAGTTTCTTGGCCAGTGGCGTTGCGTGCGAGTATCCTTGAGTCCCAGGTGTGCCAGTAAGCTCGTGTCAAGTGAAAAACATTTCAATTGAATATCGTTGCACAGCTCCTTTAACTATATTTGCATAGTTAAAGGGACCATGAAATGAGTTTCTAAATTCTTCAGCTTTTTTTCTCAACTCAAAAGCAAAATGATGAATCACGTGGTCGTCACTACGTATTTCACATGAAGAGGAAATTCTGCCAGCCGTCTCAGGGTCGCCGGGGTTAGAACTCCGTGGTCCTTGAGTCTCGTGCAATATTCTATAATGTGGAGCTACAGCGAAAACCCAAGCTCATCTTTCTTGCCGAATCACGACTGGCCAGTTGGATTACTTTTGCCTTCATCGACGGAAATAAAAGTAACGCATTATTGTCAACTCTAACGGTGATAGTTTCGAAATGCGACTACTCTAAGGTCAATGATTCCAATGTGCTTTTTTAGCGCAATCGTTTCCAAAAGATGGCAAGTGCCGTCCAAGCACTCATTGGGCACGATTGCTAATAAGAATATTGTTGAGAAATTCATTGTTCACGAGCGCATACACCCGAGGGACGCAGTACTCGCGTCCAATGCGTAAGCTGGGTTCGGCTGGCATACTTTGTCACTGAGGGGCAAATCGCTGTAAAAAAGGCGGACAGCTTTACAAAAGACACGAGGTGGGATATAAGCCGCCCTCATTAGAGAGCTTTAAAATAGGGGACCCCAAACGCCTCTCGTCCCCCAAACTTGGGCCCCCAAACAGGAAGCAGAACTTCGGCTCTTCTGCAGTGTGACGCCCAAGAGTGTTCGGAATGGAGGTAGGAAGCTTCTGGAGGCGACAGTACGCCACTTGAGGAGAAGCCAGAAGTGGTGAGGGGAACCCGAGGGTAGCCAAAACTGCCGTGGTTTTTTGGCCATCATTGGGGTTGTTCCCCTTCCCACTTCTGGCTTCTCCTCAGGTGGCGTACTGTCACCTCCAGAAGCTTCCTACCTCCATGGTGTTCGGGGAATCCAAAACGGCATTGTGGCCCCTATTTAAATGTCCTCTATTTTCAAACTTTCTTACCTAAAAGCAGGCATTGACTCTCAACACTCGATATCTAGTTTCCTTTTGACTCACTAAACACATTCTTTTACTAAAATACCCATCCTAAATAATTTATCCAAATTCAAATTAACCTGATTGTTGATTTGCCTCACATAAAAACACTAAGTCATTTAGTATCATCAAGGTTTACAGCGCGTGTTTTTTCCCTTGGCCACAAAAATACATGTAACTTGAATGAGCCAGCGATGTTTCTTTTATCATTGGCTTCCTGTGGCACAAGTGGCCATCTCTGCACATCAGCACGATAAACCGTCTACGTGTTCCACTTTTTTTTTAATGTACATAATTAGTAATTTTGATGAGGCGCTGAAAGTTTATACATAAATCAATGCTTATTTTTACTACCGAAAAAGTTTATTCTCAAATTTATTTAAAGACTTAGGATTACAAAACGTTATATACTGCCATCTAAATAAATGGAGCCCTCGGTAGAGGTTTGTATTGTCGCAATCGCTTGTCGTTGCAATTCTTTGCGTTCAAAGTAAAAAAAAAAAAGCCGTCAAAAGATCCGGTATAACAATACTGTTGCACGCGGTTATCTTAAGTTTACAAAAAAGATGGAAGAACTCAATAGTGTGCAGAAGTCTGTAAGTCTAAAGCCAAGGCGAAGTGTGTTTCTATATACGGTTGTGTTATACGCTTTTAGCATCGCTTACCAACTTCAAGCAGAATGAAAAGCTAGTTGATAAATACTAAAATATTGATTGAATATTGACTCGAAATGCCCTCGAAAAAACGCTCAGCATTTGCGTTTAACAATGATTGATAAATAACACGCCACCGAACCGACATCTTCTGAAAAAATATGTAATTAAGTGATGTAGCCTTAAAAAAAAAAAAAAAAAAAAAAATACATGCTCACAGCTTTACATTTGATGATGCCTACATGCACACGGTCCCGCGGTTTTTTCCGAACATCTCCGAAGGGTTTTGCGAAAAGTGCAAGCGATCTGGGCAAGGATAATAATCCTTGAAGAAAGGGAACAAGACGGACAAAGGAGAAACACAAATCTGCAAACACATCTGGTGGCTGGTGAGTTACTGAAAAGAGTCCGCCTGGTCCTGGTATCGAACCAGGAACCTCTCCATTTCTAGTGGAGTGCTCTACCCACTGAGCTAACCGAACGTTAGACGCGAGTAGAGGAAAGGGACTCTAACAGCAACAAAGGTGAACGGCCTGCACTTTGAGGTTATGATGATAATGCATTTAATGCAAAGGTGCAAGCGAGCTTGACAAGGATAACCATAATGATCCCTGGAACCAGGGACCCCTCCATTTCCACTGGAAATGAAGAGGTCCCTTGTTCCAGGCGTATTGGTTTTCAGACGGGCAACAGTCACCTAGCTGTGTTTTGAGGTTTATGTTTGTACTTTGTCCTCCTTGTTGCCCTTCTCCGGGGAATATTATAGTTATCTATGATTCGTCTTACCAAAGCAAGCTCTGGCAGTGAAGAAAAGAAACGGTTTCGTACTTCGGTAATAATAGCTTTCCAATAGAATGTAGGGGCCAACCAATTATACGCTGGAGCACGTTAAGCTGGTTCGAGAGTGATCTTAACTAAGCTAACTTTCCATTAACCTTTGACTGATCAGCCGAGTTTACCGACCAATAATTAGTGTTTGATGTTCTTAGTACACCCGGATTAAAAGTTAACTCCACACAAAAAATGACATACTTTCCTATCAGACGCCCTTAATCGTGAACGTTGTAGAATCCGAACGACCGTTTTTTACGAGATGTAGTGTAAAAGACTTCAAAACAATATTTCGCGACATATACAAAGTGTACGTGTGGGAATATCTTGCGGGCACAAACTATTGCCAGTTAGAGGAATAATCTATATATTCGTTACAATGGGTTGCTATGTTCGCGTGATACATTATTTTTTTCTCGATATGTTCAAGGTTGTGCAATTGAAAAAAATAGGCCCTCGCAAAGATTTAGTCGTTTACAGTATATAAATGCAGCATTCGATATACGTGGTACTTAACAACGTGACGACACCATAGGTCAAAAATGAGCCGAGTCTTTAGACGAGAAACGTTGAGGGTACAGTAGTTTTTTGCTCATCTAAATTCACCACCGGCTATCTGCGCAAACATTTCTGGGTGTGGTTTCCGCTTTTTCAAGTATTTCAAAATTTACCCATTTTTTCCATTCACTTACTTTTTCTCGTGACGATGCCGTATCCCTTGTTGTCAAGCAGGCCTCCGATTTGTGTGAGGTTGCAGTTTCTCTCGATGATATACTCGATGGAGGCAGATTCCATGAGAAAGGCATAGTCCCCGGCCATCACTCGAGTGTGACCGTCTGTGGCAGTTTCGACGTAGACGTCTTTCTCGTGATCAAGCATGTACTTGTGCATCATCTTGTAGGTCGGGATTTTGGATTCCTGCGAAAATAAAGAAGCGAAAATATTTTGTTTTTATTTTTGCAATCTGCAGTCGCACGAAAAGACAGATTCGCTTCGGAAAACTGATAACCGGACATCTGGTTCACTAGAGAATGTAAGCAAATGCTTAAAACACAACTCAAACAGTCCGCAAAAATCAGTTTCTTCAAGTATCGTGCTGTGATTTAGAACACAGGTGCAACTAAGTCTAGGTGGTGAACTTCTAGAGTGTTATGTGGATGGGCGCGCTCTACAGCAACAGAAGTGATATCTTCAAGAAAGCAGGCAAAAGCCACTACTGCGGAGCTGTCAACCCGTCACCGAAATTAATATGTGCAGTTTGACGATGCTGAGCGACATCGGCTTTACCAACGCCACCTAGAATAATCGAAGCCTGTCAACAATCTTCCCTAACCCTACGTAACGTCATCAAACTTGGATGGCGTCAACTCGGCAAATGGGGCCGAGCTGGGCGCCAAGAGTTCTTAGACACAATTTTTTGACATTTAAAATGCCCTTGTTATTGTTATGTCAACTGTATTTTGACTGTACGTCAAAGCCCACGCCCTCAGAAAGGGGGGGTGTGGGGAGTATACCCCCTTGTTTCATATGTAACACCCAAAAACTACATTTCGACGTTCAGTCCACTGACGTCGAGCTGGCGATACCGGCTTTTGCGAGTGGCTTGATAGCTGTTGGGTATAACGTACTAAATAGCAAATGTGCGTATCAAAGACTACAAAAAAACAAAAACCTTGATTTTCATACTGCAGTCCTTAATCCGAACATTAGCTATTTTAATAAGTTGTATCGCTTGACTATGAAGCCGCTCGTGTAAGTTGGTATCGTCTGTTCGACGTCGGTGGACTGAAAGTCGAATTGTTGCTTTGCGGTGTTACATATGGGACAAGGAGTGTACCCCCTACACCCCCTATTTTTTAGAGTGCACCATGAATTCCTGAGAAAATTTACAACCGACTCTCACTCTTAGACACACAAACAAAATGACAGAAAGTGTGTCTCCAACAAATACTTTATTGGAAAGAGGAGTCATCGCTTGCGGCTTCGGCAAAACCCGTTGGCCAGATTTTCCTCTCAGTATGACAACATTCCTGACTGAACTGGAATGTACGTTTACTGTTATTGCAAGATTGATCGATGCGCATTGTGAGTTTGAAAACATGCTTCTGTTTTTTAAATAACAAAAAGGTAAAGACTATCTTACACATAATTAGAACGCGTTGCCGCGTGCGAGGCGGAGTTGGCAACGCACGCAGCTTCCAGGAGGAGGAACCGGGTTTACACCCCGCTTAGCTTACTCCTTTCTTTTATCATTCATCACTATTTTTTTAAAGTTTCAGGCCTTTCTTAGCTCTTATTGTGTGTCCTGGTTCAGAACGTTAAAGACCGTACCCCGTGTGTAAATGCAGCGGTAGGGCGCTGATTCAAGACAGTCGCCCTTTTGTCGCCGATGCAAGTGCGGTTGCGCTTCTCTTTATGTTTGTAGGCACACGTTGACCTAATTAAACGTTTATTTGAAGCTTTTTTATCTGCAATATTACCTTTACTTCCTACTAACATTAGCAATTGCCTGTTTTATAATGTTCACAATTTAGATGTCATTCACAATATCTGGATGTTTTCATTTGACATGCATCACGGTGTAAGTCATGAGTAAACTAATCATATATCTTAAACCGCACATGTTGCCGAGGAATGCATTAAACTAGGTCTATTAACCAGGGAATTGTTTAATAGGGTGGTTTTATTTAAAATACACAAATCTTTTTGTTGCTGTTTTTTTGTATAATTTTTTGTAAACAAATTTATGTTATAGAATAATTCCTGCAATAAACAACATTGTTTGAAAAAAAAAGCTTGGAACTATTAGTTTTACAAAATAAAAATATGTGAAGTGTCGCGTGCTCGAATAGATCAAAAGCTCGACTTGATCATGCCTCAACTTTTTCGTTCTTTTCAAATTGTTAAAAACTCAGTTTTTTGTATGGTTTCACGTAGCAAGGCCTATTGCGAACCATTTTTCAAAGAAAACGGTTTATAGTTTTTGATTTTGTGATTATGTTTGTACAAAATCCCTTACCCAATGCCTTTTGCCTCATATCCAAATTGTTCCAGAAACTCCACCGTTAAACACTACAATATGAAACAACTATCGGTGCGTAGCTATACAAAAAATCTATCTGATTGTACATTGTTCGTGTTGCTATCATATAATACAAATTATATTTTGCGTCTTACTTTTTAGAAACACAACATTTCAAGATTGTTGAGGTTGAATTGTATTTAAGTGTTTAAACGATTTCAGAGCAGTTCCAATTTGAACTATATTTGTTTGTCTTTGTCACTTGGGATTGCTCATTAAAAATGGAACCAATGATTCTACAGTTTATTTTTGAAGACGGAAAAAGTCAAAACAACAATGATTCAAGATTAAAAAAAAATATGATTGCTTCAGAATAACGTTATCGACCACGCGGAACATCATAAAGCTGATATAAAAAGAAAATTAGTGCCTCAATTAACTAAACTTCGTTAACTACCGCATCGGTTTGCATATTGCAATTGGTGATTTTCAGCCAGTCGTTTAATAGGCTACATAAGTGAGAGTTGAGAGAAAAAGCATTCATCAGGTTATAACTTGCCGAATTTTAGCAGCAGCGGTAGTGCGAAAGCAGGGAAAAGAGCACAAAACGCGCGAAGAACACCGCCCCTAAGGTCGGACAGTGTCACGCCGCTCCTTCTTTGAAGATAGGGTTCACCTGGGGTTCGGCCTTTTATACCCTCTTCGTCTAACTTTCACACGGCCGAAGATACTGAAATTAGTCACGTTAGAAACAAATGTAACCTGAGCCAAGATTTAAAAATATTGTGGTGCATTTTAGGAAGACGAGACCAAACAATAAATTTGTTCATTGCTAGGAGCAAGTCGGGTTATTTTTTTAGATTGTGCCCAATTAATAAATTAATTAAGCTTAATTATTAACTCTTTAAATATTAAATTTAGAGCAAACGCTTGAATGGCAAAGTTTTAAAGCGTCCTCAGAAACATCAAATTCAGTGGCTTTTGTCAAAAAAAACCTTAAAACCTTTTTTATAGGCCTTGTAAAAAGTTCGCGAATTATGAAAAAAAAAAGTGACTTTGCGGATAGGCCGTGGATTGAATAGACTAGGCCTGAATGCTGAATAGAGCACGGTTGACCAAACGGTGTTAACAAATTCGCGTTTTTTTTTTGTTTCTTTTTTTTTTTAATTTGGGCCCATTTTTTTAATTTCGGAAAAACGAAGCGTGTTAGAGGTTTCCTAATAAAACCACTAAATTGGATGTTTCTGAGGACACTATACAACTTTTTCATTGAAACTTTCGTTCTAAATTGAATATGCGAAAAGTTCAATAATAATTATAATTAATTAGTTGATTGGGCAAAATACAAAAATTAGCCTGAGTTGTCCCGAACAATGAACAAACTTATTCGTTTGGTTTTGTGTCCCTAAAATGCACAGAAATATTTTAAACCTTGGCTGAATTTACGTGGAATACCCTAAATATATATATGTATATATAGAAAAGTAGGGTGCGCAGACACAGACGCCGTTGGATGATAAAATAAATCTAATTTACTGGCAAAAAAAGACACTCAAGAAAAAAGAGGGAGTTCCGACAAAAAGTTGAATTAGTTTACACAACTAATCACACACGAATATGGCTTTGACGCCAGGGTGTCGCGTGCCTCTGCGGCGACACGTGAAACCACGACAAAAAGTTTAGTTAGTATGTGACAGCAGAGTCACATGACACCGTGATGTCACGAGGTTACGTGACGCGAGAGTCACATGACGTCATGGGAGATCATAAAGTCACTAATAACGAGGCGATACGCGAACCCTTGACCTCGTGTGACGTCACAGAGCTCTGTGAGCTTATGACGTCACTTGCCGTCACACACACCGTGAGACCATCTCATTTGCAATTCATTCAGTGCGTCCCCAAGTTTATCAAACTAAAGACACCAATTTCGGGGCTCCACGTGAAAGACCAACGAATGACATCTGCAACGCCCCAGCGGAACACTTAGGATTAATTTAGACCCCCTGGGGGATGTTTTGACGTGACACCGAAAATTCGGTTACCGGGTGGCCTCTCCGCAATAAGCCTCCACCAGATCACGGACACCTCGGCCGGCATTTTTGTTCACCACCTGCCGGGACCTGGGCATCTGAAGGCTGATGGTTTGCCTCGCAGCCACCGAGGCAGGCGGCTGTGCTTATCAGGTATTTTGTTTACATATATAACATACCCTCAAGCTATAGATTGAACCGGGAAGTGAACTCACAAAATTAGTCGCAAAGTGCGCGTGTAAAAGCCTTCTCATATAAAACAATAGCAGTGGTATGATCAAGACATGCTTAAATGCTTCTTCTCTCTCTGGTGTGATGGTGGAAGATCACATGCGTTTACGCCTTTAAGATTTTTACACACCGAAATATCTGCCCAGCGTTGGGGTCACAATATCTGAGGATAAAAAAGGGGTACTTGCGTTAAAAAATGCTCGTGTGCTACCCGATCGCAGACAGCCATATTTGATCTTGCTCTGCTTGGCGAGGTCTTCGGCATTCTCAATTGGGTAGACCGTCTTCTCGACGGTCAAGAAGGCAGCCAAGTTGGCAGTGTACGATGAAATCATGATGAGCGTAAAGAAGTACCAGATGCCTGCCACTGTTCTCGTTGACATGGCCCTGAAGAACAGGAAAGAAACACATTGAGTATACTTTACAAACCTTCCATACCTTGCACTCGCCAACCTTTCTTCAGAACACATAAAGGTCAAACACTACGAGCTCGGTGGTTGGAGTTGTTGAAATGATGCTTGACTCAAAAATGCAGTGCCTCTGGGATGCTCAGTGAGTGCAAAGGCCCCAGTACAAATCGCACTTTTAGATAGTATATGCCCTCGTGTCTCTAATACAGAAAAAATGTCCAGTTAAAAACTGCTGATTATTGCTAAGACGTGTTGGGAATCCGCCTTCTAAGTCACTTTCGTGACTGTATTACAACTCAGCATAACCAATTTGAATATGTTCTTATGGGTAGCGACATTTAAGATCCGCTGCTAAAGCACTTGAAAAAAAAAAAAGAAAAACACAAGTTAATAACTGTTTTTCCCTCCTAGATTCGTATACAACTTGCAGATATATTTGTTCACTTTCAAACTTTCCTGTACGCGATGGCAACGCAATGGAACCTGTCCAAATGATGTTTTAATATTTTCGAATGGACGGGCCTTAACCACTAAACCTGAATTAGTTATAGCTCTTTTTATGCACTCGCAATGTGGATTTCTTTATTTAAACGGCATTGATTTTGACGTTTTGTGTCTTGTAGCTTATATGCTGAACTACATAATGCATAAAATAAAGTGGACCAGTCGCATAAATTAGGTTAGAAAACATTACGGATTCGTTTCGGAAGTTAAGAATATACTGTTAATAATTTCCCCGCTAAATTTAGCGGAAAAATTGATGTGGCTAGTCGTCAGGGCGTAGCGTGACACCACGACTTGGTACCGTGACGTCGCGTCACCTGACCTCCAGTCACAGGACGTGGTCAGGAGAAATGACATCAGCGTCTCGAGTCGGGTTGTCAGGTGCTGCTAGAATGTTAACTATGCCACGTCAGGACAATGTTTTTTTTTTTCTAAATTAAGAGGGGAAATGCACAAACAGACGGACGGACGAAATAACTTCCAGAATAAAAAGCTTTGTTAAAAGAAAAAAAAACAAAAAAAAAACATCTGATGGTTTAAAACAGTTCTTTGCGAAGGCATTTCAATTAGTCGGCACAAACTTCGTTCAGGTTTCGATGTCTTGCGGCGACATTAGGGAGTCTTCGTAGACGGCTCTTTTCGGTGCGCTACATGCTCTCCAAGAAAGACGCGGCTTGCGAGCCGTTAGCCTCGTCTACAAGGATCAGAATCTTGCAACGGGTTGCCGAGGTTGTTGCGGGACGACGGAAACGATCTATGAAAACTCCTTAATGAGAAGAAAACAATGAGACCGTGTTTTATCGGGCCGAGGGCACATTCTCTAGTGGAACTTCAAGCTGTAACATAACTAAAAAAAAAGTTTTTGAATAGGTGTGACGTGGGTGCACGCCGGAAAGAAATTAACTTATACCTGTTTGAAGTCGTCGGCCATGGTAGTTAGCATGCACAGCTGATTTCTCAAACGAAAAGGAGCACGTGATCTGGTTAGAGCTACGGATCGCTCTTTGTTTTATTTGTATTTCATTTACTTGTCTTTTTAGGTGATTAGCTTTAATATCCATGCTAATATATAGTCTCCGGCATTCTCGATATCATAGGAGTAATAAAAAAAATGCTTCGGTCCCTTATGGTATCGTCTAAATCAACTGTGGCGACAGCCGAGGCGCTGCAGATGGACAATTCGTGCTTTCGTGCGTTTTCCCGCTAAATTTAGCAGAGGAATACAGGAATCATGTTTTCATTAAGCATAGCTGAAAATTGTACAAAGCATTTGACCGCCAAATTCAGCGTAGAAATGCACAAAGTTTTTAGCTAATGTATAGTTTGGAGAGGCTCAAAGCTTTTTTCCGATAAATGAAGCGTAGAAATGCACAAAATATTTTTACCCATTCGTTGAGTGGAGAAACCCACCAAGCAGTTTACTGCTAAATTTAAGGGAGAAATGCGCAGAAGCATTTCACGGTTAAGTTTAGCTGAAAAAATTATAAGCTATCTACTGCCCCTCTGTAACGCCCCTGGCCCTGAGGGTAAATAAATAAATAAATAAATAAATAAATATAAACGGGAAATATAAAAAGCAATTTCTTATTGACTATGCGTTTAATGGAAAAACGCACGGAGAATTTTACCGCTTAATTGAAAGGAGAAATGCCCAAATCATTTTGTCACTAAGTTCAGCTAAGAAACACACAAAGTCATATAGGGCCCCATTAAACGGAGAAGTGCACAAGGCATTTTCGTTGAAACGATTAGTGAAAAAAGAACAAAAACGCACGGATCATTTTACCGTTAAATAGAACGGAAAAATGCACAAATCATTTTCTCACTAAGTTCAACTAAGAAACGCACAAAGTCATTTAGGGCTAAATTAAACGGAGAAGTGCACAAATAATTTTTGTCGAAACGTTTAGTGAAAAAAACGCACAGTGCATATTACCGCTCTATGTAGAACGGAGAAATTCACAGATCATTTTACCGCTAAGTTTAGCTGAGATTTCAACAAATCCCTTTACTGCTAATGAAAGCGGAAAAATGCACAGATCATTTTCCCGCTAAGTTTAGTTGAGAAATGAACAAAGCCGTTTACTGCTAAAGAAAGCGGGAAAATGCACAAAGCATTTTTTTTTTCGCGATAAGTTCAGAGAAAGAACTTGAAAATAATTTTACCACCAAATTTAACGCAGAAATTTACAAAGCATTTTTCCCCTAAGTTAGCCGTGAAATGCACAGATAAGGTTAGCCCTAAACTAAAACGAGAAATGCCCAAATACTTTTCACACTATATTTATTGGATAAATGTCCTCCTACAATTCAGCGGAGCTGCCACGGCTCTACAGGAAAGACACTGGGGATCGGCTGCGAAACCTCCCCGAAAATGACTCTCGCCCTTAACAAGGCTGTTCTTACTTGGGTGCCAAGTCCGAGCCTTGCTGCATGAGTGATCCGATGGTGAACCAGAGAGAGTTGAGCAGGCTGAAGCTGTTCTCGAGAACCTGGTCGTTCTGACGGCATGGGTGTGGGTTGTCCCACTCGTAGGGGCTGAGCCGGCCCACGAGGAATAGCACCACAGAGACGCCGATGTAGGCGCCCACCACGTACGCCCACACCTCCATACTGAACGGCGACAGGAAGCTGAACAGCGTCGTCACCTTCTGGGTGGGCTTCTTGAAGAGGATGCTGATGCCCGTGTTCATGAACGGCATCGTAAAGTCGACGGCAACTTCGCGTTTTGAAGTTATGGTAAGGTCTGCGATGGCTAGGTCTGCTTTCTGTAAAAATCGTTTAAAACAAAAATAGGTTTAAAATTAAGTTTTAGATACGCCCAAATAAGGCCAACAAATTAAGGGTCTTGAGGTAGGCGTACATTCATCGTGTGCTTTAATCTTGTGTCAGATAAGAGTTACCAATAATTCTACTTGAACCAAATGATTTAGCGAGGGCTAAACACCTAAACTTATAATCGGGAGGACATATGAAGTCTTGAATTAGAACGTACACTTTTTAAACTCGTTAGACACATATACGCCCGGTGCGTTCTTTCTGGTTCATTTACAATTTTCATAGCTACACGAAGCGCCCTGCTATTTTCAGGGGCGCAGGTCCCATTGCCAAAACCTCTTTAGTTTTAAGTCACCAAATAAACAAAATCTTGTAGTACCATTTACTGCTCATACAACTGGATATCACTTCGCCTTCCAGTCCGTATTCCGAAATGAGTCCAAAATTAACGCGCCTGTCTTTCGTACGCAGCGCCCCAGACGCGGGCAAAAAAACGTTGGGACCACATTTATTGTTCTCTTCACCTTTACTTTGCACTATAATCATTCTATATAAAAAGTTCTTTCTACAATAATATGTTGGTAGAGCACAAAGGTAATAAGACTTCATTTTAATAATGACACTCTTGAGTTGATTCTCACCCTCAGGAGGTAGGGCATGCCAAGATAAATCTTTTAATGTTCCTGATAAGTTCATAAGTAATGAACCAGGCTGAATTTCCGATACCGCTATTAGTAAAACTGTTAATCAGCTTCACGATACTGACCCCTTTCATTATATGCGTACAAGACTCAGGTTTTCTAAATGGCACCTCATCGGAATGAGTCGGCAAAGCCACTGTCAACTCCCTAACTTCCACACTCGGCCTCTCGAAGATTCGGCCTAGAATGTTTGGGATTGAGTTAGGGCGAAGCTAACTAGGCAAGGGCATTCTGGGCTTTTTATCTTTTAGGCTCGGGTTAAAAGTATACGCGAATCTTTTAGATGAATGGAAAAGCGTTACTTCTCGATCATGTATGCGGAAAAATTGCAGTAATGAACAAAAAACGTGCGTCTAAATTACGATGACACTGCTTTATGAAATTAGTAAATAGGTATAGTACAAAGTGTTTAAAAATATTTTTAGATTAAAAACAAATGTTTTCTGATCAGGATGGATAGCTGGGAAAGATTGTAAGAGTAAATGTTGAAAGAAAAAAAAAACAGCGCGACAGGGACAAGGATCAAAAGACAAAGAGAACGCAAGCCAAGCGCTGACAAACAACTGGTTAGCTAGTAGAACATAAGAAGGAACGAAAAGAAAAGATGGAGTAAAATGTTCGCGCGCTCGCTGGGCGCCTCGTGGAATATGTCCCCGTCTTTTTTATTCTCAGGAGATCTCGCAAACCTAAACGTAGAAACCTATTTTCTTCTGTTCTACGTCAAGTAGTCTTGTTATTCTTAATCCAGAAAGTTTATCTTGCTGGGGGTCGGAGTCAACGAAGGTTGGCTCACACACGAGCAGTTGTTCTTTGTGATGTTGTAGCGTTCAATCATCTCTCGACAAGTTCGGACGTGGTGTTGATACAATACACTGGTGTCATTGAAGCGCGGTTTGCACCTGCAGTCTCGGAAATGAAGAGTTAAATGTGAATAAGCGGTGCCTTTTAAGGAGCTGTGATGCTCTTAAATTTGGATGTTATGAAACCCCAAAAGGAAGTCACTTATGAAACTCCAAAAGAGAGTAAAATTAAATTTCAAATATTCCCGTTGAATTTAAAAACAAATAACAAATTTTCTGGTTGTGCTATCCTAGGGCATCAAAGAGTTTGTTAAATTACCAGTCATCACATTCCAAAGTTGTAAAAAGACTTAGGAGTTTCCTGTTTGAAGTTCGCTTTAACAAATTCATGTGTTCACAAAATAGACGTTAGCTTCACTTCCCAGATAGCAAAGATTAGGGACTTAGAATACTCAGACTGGATTATCTCATCAGCATGAGATAGTTTAATAAAAACTGTTAACATTATTTTCTATTTTTATGTTAGAGGAACGAGCCAGAAAAGAAAACAGAAAGTCTCGGTTATTCATTATCTTCACCGCATTTCACGCGGTCTTAAAATAGTCGCTGCAAGACATGTGGTCAATTTAATTTTCAGCCAAAAACAAGCTAAGCAGATTATGTTCCGCTGTAAGCGTACGCTGGGAGGGAAACGCAGGATCAAAACATAACACATGCAAGGTATTCTATATAAAAAAAAAAGACACGTGTCGTGCGTAAAGATGTGGTCTACCTCATTCCCCTGTCTTGTGGGCGCTCTTATATCGGACAGACTGGACGGTGCTTAAACATCCAACTCAGAGAGCACCACAGCTCCTTAAAAAGCACCACCCATTCACATTTAGCGATTCATTGCCGATATTCTGGGTGCGAACCACGCTTCAATGACACTAGTGTATTATATCAACACCACGTTTAAACATGTCGAGAGATGATCGAAGCCTACGACATCACGAAAAACAACAGCTCGTGTGTGAGCCAACCTTCGTTGACTCTAACTCCCAGCCATACGAACTTTCAGGATTAGGGATAACAAGAGCACCTGAGGAAGGAAAGAAGAAAAGACGTTTCTACATTCAGGTTTACGAGCTCGCCTGAGATGAAAAAAGAAGAACGGGACATATTCGACGAGGCGTCCAGCAAGCGCGGGAACATTTGACTTCATTTTTTATTTTCTTTCTTCCTTATCTTCTAAAAACAAGCCAGTTGTTAGTCAGCTCATGTCTTGTTTTCTTTTTGTCTTTTTGTCCTTGCCCCAGTCGCGCTGTTTCTTTCAACAAGATGTTTTCTCGTGGCGAACAAATAAGGGAAACAGTTGTGGTGCTTACCCCACTAACTACCTCTCCGATCATGCCACTCCAATGGCCAGTTTCATTCTGCAGCCCGTAGGCCCTGTCTTTGACCAAGTGGATCTCATACTTGAAGGTCAGCTGCTGAGAAAGCTCTTGCAGAAGGTCGACACAATATCCTTCGAATCGATCGTTGCCCACAAGGTCGACGGCGGATTCCTTGAGCATCATGTAAGGATCCGTCTGAAATGGAAATCGCGGAAATGCCTCTGCTTCTTAAAACTGCTTGTTGAGAAGAAACGAAAATGGGACCCTTTTTTTTATTAAAGTACTCAAGGCACCGTAATACGAAAATGCCCCGAAGGAGACGAAAGCGGTTACACAAAGTTGCCACCGTTTCGGGACTGTAAGGTCCTTTCTCAGTGCATGCATGATCCTTAACATAGTGAGGAAGGACCAGCCAGTCCCAAAACTTTTCTGTTCCTGTCTCTTTCTCGGTCCTTCTTTCCGTCTTCATAAGGGTATTAGTGTTTGACTATTTTACCCGCAAGAGCTTTTCTTTTCTTTCACTCAGGTGTATAGTTCCGTACCAGGGGTGGCCAAACCGCCGCTCCCTTGTAATGCCCCCCCCCCCCCCCCCCCGGACCATGTCAAAATAAAAGCCACGCAGAAAAATTGGCAGGTTGTGTTTTGTAAGCTTTGTTCCATTTTATCACCGGACAGTGTTTTTCTTTTACGAATAAAGGCTCATAATAGGGACTCATAATAAAGAAACATACTGTGCAGCGGCTTTATGAGTGCAATTAGCCGTAACCACCACCTAAGAAGATATGTTTTAAAGTGCCTTGCCTTGTTTTTATTGTGGTTTTTAACTTATAATTATTCCGTTTTATAGCTCGTTGTTTATATCCATCTGGCCACCCCTGGTGTATACTATAATTGTTTATATTAACCACGCGGGCGTAGTTCTATACCGTAATGATTTCATGTTGAGCAACGTTCGATTGAACGGTTGCTGAAGCTAAACTACCACTGGGCGGAGTCTCCAATGCAGCATTCATTGAAAGTTGCTTTGGAGGAAACAAATACTTAGTTTTTCTCGTGACATACCACAAGAAATTTGGAAAATAATAGGGAAAGGTGGCCGAAAATAAATCACCAAAAAAGAACACGCGCGTTATTTCGTCGGCACTTTCGGGGGTGTTCAATTTTTTTAAATGAGATATGTTCAACTATCACGTTTAAAACCTTTAGGTAAGTAATATAAACAGCGAAAATAACAAATGGAAGTAAGAATAATTGCAGAAAACACGTAAATTTATTGGAACATAACTTATGATTCTTGATGAAAAGGTTTAAACATAGGCGGGTTATAAATTACTCCGCTCAAATTTCTCGTGCAATGTTTAGGGTTTTTTTCATATCCACACTCACCAGCACCGTCGTCACGATGAGTGTCTTGTCCTTGATGAGAAGGGAGTCATAATCCGAGGTGACGTTTTCTTCCACCGTCACGTTGTCTCTCGGGTTCCAGCGCCCCACCTAGTAAACCAGTTAAGTAGAGAGTGGTAAATCATTTCTGGGTGAGCGCGAAGCATTAAAAAGAAAACTATTTTCGTGATTCATCAGCTCGGAGAGTGATTGATGAGAGGGACGCGCATTTGAATAGCAGGGAAATGAGGGGGTTTGGGGTTGAACGAAATTTCTGTGTGGGTAATCGAATCGTTTATGCACAAAAGCGCCAACCAGTGTCACTGACGGCTTCATAAAAGGAGGGTATGAATTATCTTCGCACTTTTCTCTATGCGATTCGTTTTTCGGAGCACCTATCAACTAATCCAACAGTCTAATTGACTAAGGAACAATAATACAACGCCCCCCCCCCCCCCCAACACACACACACACACAAAGAGTTTGCTGTTTTTTTTTTTTTCTTTTAACGGCAAAGGAAAAAAAAAAAGTGAAGTACGCATCCCTCATTACTTGCGAACGCTAGTTTTCCGCGCAAATGTAGGGCTAGCGCTCGAAACCTAAAGCCAAAGTATGATAATTAACCGAAATCTTAACTCAAAAGTTATGAGGGATTTTTGAGCAAAAGTTTTCAGTGGAAAAATGGAGCCCGTTTATACCCGTCTTGGTTAGCTGGCGTAGCTCAGCTCCATGTATTCGAGAGCTCTGTCAGCTACTATCTTCCTATTGAAAATTTTAAAAGATCACTAATAACGTTTGAATAGGATAACGGTTATTTCTAAAACAGAGGGTATCCTGTTCTTTCCCCTAGCGCTGCAGTTGCGCTCAGAGTGTGCATTCGACAATACGTAATTTGTTTTCGCGGTTAAAAAAAAAAAAAAAGAACACAACATAAATTTTCTAAATTATTTTTTGGGCTACCTTGAAGAATGCTCGGAACTTTTCCACGCCCCGTGTTTATTAGCTGTCAGTAGCCGTATACATTATTTGTTCACCCTCGTCTTCAGTCAACTAGTTGACCAACTCGGTATGCGGTATATAAGCAAAAAAAAAAAGAAGAAAAAAAGCGAGGCATTACAAACAACTTGGAACAACTAATATAGTACAGAAAAGACAGAAAAAAAATACTAGAGAGTCGCCAATAAAGTGTTTGCCTCTTGCAGTGGGGTGGCGAGAGCAAATAGTTCTTTTCCCGTATACTGGAAGTCCCGCGAGTAAAGATGGCGGCGCCCTTGTAGAGGATTGGCCTAGTATAATCCCGAGAGCTAAAGAAGATCAGGGAATATCGACTCCAAGAATATTATTATTGTTCAGCAGCCAATGAGGTGGCGGTATCAGTTGCTAAGAGCGCCGGACAACCAATCACGAAGCAAGAAGTCTGATCTTATTAGGTCATGACTTGCCTTTATCTAGCACTCGGTAACTACGCGGAGCGCAAGTTCGTCTGCTTCGTGAGCAGAGGTCGCGGTGACGTGAAAAAGCTGAGCACTGATTGGGGGGATAGCGGGTAGACCTCAAGGCAGTTAGCATTGACGTCCTCTCACTAACCCCTCCATCAAAGCCAATCAGTGTTATGCGTTCTGACGTCAGTTCAGCCACTGTGCAAGAGGTAGACGAATTTGCGCTCCAAATCTAAAACGGTATTTTTTTAGTTATTATTGAAAGACATTTTTTTGAGGAATGGAAAGCCCGATCTGGGGGATAAGTTGGGACGCGGAGCGAAAACGGACGTTCTATGCCCGTGATTCTCCATACTCCTCTTTGAACCCGTTTGAGTCTGATTGTCGCAATAGCATTAACTACGTTGCAGTGGCTTAGTAAGGGATTTGACCGCGACATACAACACGAGCCAAGTGACGCAACGCCTGATTACCACGGCAACTCGCAGTCGTCCCCCAGCGTAGGCCCTAGCAACCCACGCAGAAACTTTCGACGAAGTCGAACGTTTCAGCGTGAATGGGTCTTTTATCTCTCTGTCTTTCCTCCTCTGTTTCCCAGTGCCTAGCTAACGCCCCCGACGTTTGCTGAATCGGCGACACATGCAAAGATGGTAATGGTTAGAGTTGCGAAAACGCATTTTCGCTGCCCATACTTCTTCGCCCCCCCCCCCCCCCCCCTCTCTTCTGTTTCCTACTTTCTCACCCACATGCAGTATAAAGAACCTGACTCGGCTCTCGATGCGTGAGATGACATCAAACAGAAACTGGTCACCAGAGTTGACCTGCAGCTTTCATTGTCGTAAGCTTATTGCAAATTACAGACTATTTCGCGTCAAAATACGCGTCTTATGTTGTACCAATTTGTAATGATTGTGGTTGGTTCAGCTAATATGAACCCAATGATCTCGCTGAAGTTCTCTCTAAGCGCCGTGTTAAAGTTTGGGTCGCCTTTTTTTTTCTCTACTTAATGCGCCTCGCATCACAAATTATATGTGAATGCTGAAAAAATAATTAGAGAGTGCGTTATTGGATTTTATTTTGATATTAGGAACCGTCATCTTGAGATGACCTCACAAACTAGGGAGAGTATTTATATTGGTGGTCACGTGGGTCTCCAAATATATGAAGCAGGACACGTATGCTCCTTCGGTGGGGAAAAGAGCAACCTACAAAGACTTGACTACTACCGCAGTAGTGCTCTAGATCTTTCCATAGATATTGATTGCTTTTATTATTAATGAAGCTAAGAGATTCTTTATCAATTAAACAATTTATAACAAAATGTGAGTACGAAGGTGAGCGGGTGTAAATTTATAATTTTAGAATTACACGAGACTGCTGCTACAAATAATGAATTACCCGAGACTGCGGCTACAATTAATCAATTTCTGGTCTGTCATGCTGTCGCAAAATTGCGGCTTCCAGCAAACGAAACAGACAGCAGCAAGGGGAAAAAAAACGATAAGTGATGCTATGCGTAGATTTTAAGTAGTGAAAAAAGAACAAAATCCACGCATTTATTTTATAGTAAATTAAAATAAGGTGAGCATACCCATAACTAAACAAGAAGCTAATGTGCCGTGATTCCTACGCTTTAGAGTGAGGGGTTTAGAAATTCTTGTGTGTACTTGGTTCGCATTTCGTTATATGTACCGGCCACTTGAGAGAAAGTAAAGCCTAGGTTCTTGACCAGCATAAGTAAACTACGTATTGTAGAAAGCTCAACTCCATGGGAATATGACGCTAGTGGTGGTTATAAAACGTGTAAGTTTGAGAACATGGCGTTGCCTGAATCGAAAAATAAAAGGGGAAACCAATTTTCATTACACGTTAAGCCGACCTATAGGCTTTATAGAGGTGAAACCAGAGGAATGACACTCTGAACGCCATCGGAATGTATTTAAGTTAAAAACACTTGTCAGCCAGAAAGACAACACGTTGTTTTATTGCAAATATTTAGTAAAAAAACTAAAACAAAATCCCACATGCGCAGACAATGCTTTTTATTGACTTAACGATTGGTAGGCCTAAGTAGACGTCGATTGATCAACAAATTTTGAAATTTATAGTTTTTACTGTTTTATTCAGGTAGCGCATTGTTTTCAAATTTTCGCATTATACTACTGTCACAATAGTGTCACATTCACACAGAGCTTTAGCTCTCTGCCATGCCTACTTCATTATTGCGTGCCACAAAAACGGGGTTTAATGTTCGCTCACGAACCCGGTGGAGTGCAAGTATATATTAAACTGGCATTTTTAAACTTTTTTTTATTCCGAAGTAATGCTGCGAGGACAAATATGCGCTCGGAGATGACTTACAAGTTTCGCGATACGTTAAGACGGCACATTGAAAGCCGGTAGGTCCGATACCCTTCATCGGTCAGGCAGACGGTCCGCTGCCGCTACCCTCTCGATGCTGCGGCGTCATTAAGGGGTTCATTAAATCCTTGGTCCGGGAATTCCTTCTGGGAAGCTCCGCGCAACTTTGGGGACAGGAATCGTTTAGTTGCCCGCTAAAGGCGTATTCGCCAGCCAGCTCATTACCGGAAAGGACTTGACGACATGAGAAATCAATAGCCGCAGTCTAGAGATAGCGTCCCCTCCGAAGGGCCCGCCAAGGGGCGACACCAGAAAACTTTTTTACGTGGTCCTCTGTTTTCTTTCCAAAAGCCAGAGCTCAGACGTGTGCTGTATGTACAGTTTGGACTTCGAATCAACCAGCGATCTGGCACATATTTTCAAACGCGGACAATGGACAAAAAGGGGACAACTCACAATGCGCCTCAAGTGTTATTCAGGCGCAGTCTGGGTCGTCCTTTTTTCTTTGCCAGTCGTCTCCGTTTTCTGTCTTACATAATATGGTGTGGGTATTGCGGTACTTTCGGCGTCCCATTATATTTGTTTGTGCCTGAGCTACGGACGTCCTTTAAAGTCATTACATTTACATTTAATTCTTGCTACTTTTTACTTTTAGCGACGCGTTCACAATAACTTGAACCAATTTTAAGGTGAGACGTGACAAATGTTACGCACCTGTTGTATTGTAGTTTGGGCCAAGATTCGCAATGACGTAAACCTTACACGCTGAAGCGTGTAAGGTTAACGTCGTCGCGTAGCTTCGTCCGAACACCTGATGCATACTTCGGGGGTTTGTACCTTATTTCTTTTATTTATTTTTATTGACTGACGTTGGAATACGACGCTCCAAGCAAACTGCCAAGTTTCTTCCACTTTCGGGTCAAAGAGCAAATGCATTGAGTGTTCAGGGAGAAAATAACGCAAATACATCTGTCAATAAAGATCTGTTTCGATTGGGACAAAGCCGCTAGTCATGTGTAGGTTCAGTTATGTAAAGTGATACTGTTGCGCGAAATTGTACCAGTTGCTTTTCACTGACAAGATCCCTTCCCCGATGGAAAACGGGGAATGAGCAACATAAAATGGATTCCCATCTGCTATACCCGATATTGTGAATCTAAATTTAAGGTCATAAAACGAAATGCTCCAATTAGGGGCATTGCCATAGCGATTAACTCTTAGTATTTTTTTCGAATCACGTATCGCAATAGCCTAAACCATTTTTTTTTTGAGAATTCAGTCCGGACTTGCAATTCTAATCGAAACCCGAAA